TATATATATATATATATATATATATCACTTCATATCTTCCCGTCATCTTTCTGTAAAGTGAAAAACTGAAATACATAATATTGTATAATAAATAATTTTACAAGGAAAAGTATTTTGGTACTTTTTGTGAGCATATTAGGCTGTGGAATGGCTTCCAAAGAGAAATTACACAACAAACACGAGCGGAAGCCGCGACTAACATTCCCGATTTAGAATTTTACGAGGCCTCCTTGAACGCATCTCGGGATTACTTTGAAGCTGGCGGGTTGGGCCAGACTCCAGTGAATTATCACGGTCCTGCCGAGTGCTGCTGAACCGCAGGCGGAAGGAGAAAGACCCCAGCGGAGGCAGATGAGCTGAATTTTACCGAGCAGCGGTAACACAGTTAAAAGTGTGAGGAGAGGAGTGAGGTTTTTTTTTTTAAATGTAGCCGCGCTTCTTCGTGGCTCTACTTGTTCCCTGTGGGATAGTTATTGGAGTTGACAAGCCCGCTTCACTACTGTATTACTCCCTCCTCCTCTTCCTCCTCCTCCTCCTCCTCCTCTCCCGCTCCACACAACCAGGAAATCGTCGAGGTGTGCTTCTTTATCCCGTTGGTGGTTGCCCCGTTTGCGGGTGTAGATGAGCTTCTTTTTTCTCCGGTTTCGCACTTTTTAATTTTTTTTTATTTTATTTTCACCGGCGTTTTTCTCAACGCCGAGCTTTCCCCACTGAAGTTGCCTTCGAGGAGAGGATCTCCACTCTGGCCGAACAATGAGGTGCGTAAAGCGGCTCAAATCTCCTTCATGTTCATTGTGTGTTTCCAGGCTACATTTCGTGTTTCGGCAAAACAAGTTTCTGAAAGGCGGCTGTGTGGATTCGGACCCTTGAACGCCTCACGGCTTCCGCCTGGTTTCTAACACGTCTCATTCACAAATAACTCTAGCTTTTATTTATTTTTTKATGTTGTTTTGACTCTACTGAAACTTGTGCTGCAAGTTTTTGTGACCTTCTCCAATGCTGTTTTAAAAACAGCTAAAAGGCTTGTTTTACCTGCTCGAGTCTTCACAAGGTGGGGTAGTGGAGCAGGTCAGATAACAACATACTTTTGTGAGCAATTAACTCAACTATTTCAGCTAAAATCATGAGGGAAATGATAGTGCAAACAACTCATAGCTAAAAAAAAAACACTGATTCATTACTTGAGGTCAGTTTAATTCAGTGTGTTGCTCAAAAGCACTCGTGGCTATAAAAGGGAACTCTTAGCTGCACAAATGATCTGTTTATATCATCATCATGCACTCCACAGACTTGTATTAATACCCCCGCCCGCCCTGCTGTTGCCCTCCTCTTTTTTGAGTGCAGGGTTTTGCACCAACAACAAAACTGCCATCAACCAGAGTCATGTTCACAAATTCCACATCCTGTTGCAGCCTGTGCAGCTGGCAATTACAGACTGCTTGGAAGTCTTGGCCCCTCTGGTCTCAGGTTTAAACCCYACCATGTCAGGATTCAGCAACTCAGACTCATTTTGCACCTACTGCAGAATATGGTGGTGCAAGTCAGTGTTGATAACCTGAGTAACTAGTTTGCCTTTTTTCTTCTCTCTCTCTCTTTATTTCATACCTATCACAGTGACCTTTCTTGTAACAATGTATCCAGCTCAGGCACATTAAGGGCTGGTCCAGAGYTTCTGTTTGTTTTGTGCATATTTTTTCCTGGTAGCTTTGATTCCAACAGGAACACTTGAGCGCAGCTGAACTCTTGTCCCAGTATGGCATTAGACACATTTAACAGCTACTGACTAAAGTAATCCACCAACCAGGGAAGATAACGGTAAGGTTTGTGCTTGTGTCCGTATATGTTCTGAGCAAAATAGTTCACGGGCCGTTGGGCGAACCGATTAACTTTCAGCCCAATTCAAGGTGGCTGCAACCACAGCTAGTCAACATTACCCAACACRTAAATGGCTGCGACTGGTAATTTGGCAGAATTTGAGCTTAAATTTGCTTTAGTAGTAGCTGAGAGTYRTTCAAAACACATATTGAGTGTGACATCTTGCAGTTTTGCACAATATTGCAGTTAACCAGAATAGCTACAACGTGGGCATCTCTCAACAAAACATGTCAGTCTAAAACTCTGGCCTGAAAGGTGGTGTGTGATGTTCATTCTTTCAACAAATGCTAGGTCTTTAAAGGGGCTATATCATGTAAAATCAACTTTTTTGAGTTTTATATCGTGTTATAATGTTATACTCATAAAAAAACATGCTCAAAGCCTTGCTCTGACTCATTCATGCATGTTTGAGAAATCCTGCAGCGTTTTTAGGAAGCCATGCTGAGGAGCAAAACGACAGGTGGGGACCACAAACAGCATTTTGTACCAGAAATGCCTCTGGGACGTGTCTTTAAGCCGAACTTCCTCATGGCAGAGCACCCCCCCCTACCCCGCACACCCTGCCCATGACTCCTGCAGGCTCTCGGGTGAAAGTGAAAGTGAAACCTAACTGTCTGCTGAGCTCT